CTATAGCTGATGGCCATCGTTCTGTAACCACAATTTTCGAATGGAATATATTTAAGTCACATCCCAGTCGGCGGTACGGATGCATCGGATGATGAACGATTTAAAATACGTGAAATCGGTCTGGAAAATTTGCAAACAATCGTCTTGAGTACTTTTGTCGATATTTGGTCTCTCCAAGAAGACGTCGGTTTTTTAGGCGCAAGAAGTCCTTTCCTCACTCGATCTTATGAGGAGTCATGGCTTGTTATGACTGTTACATTACGTTCGTTACTTTGCAACCATTCACTCTTGTTTTAAGAGTTGAAATAAGTCACTTGCAGTGTTGTCTTGCATTTTGCCTTGAGTCTAAGGTGTTGCGCAAGATAAGCGTAATTCTTCGGGGGGGTGGGCATGGTACCCAGTTGTGTTTGGCCCTTAAATTCGTCTCTTGCTATCAAGTTAACAAAGGCTTTTTACTTCTCTATGATCGTGCTCATATATGACATTATTATGCACTTTGTGGTCTTAGATCTGACCCACTTTGGGGGGTAAAGTACACGTCGACAACTCGGTCATTTCGTTTGTGTTTGTCCATCTTGCCCTTTCACTTACTGATCAGTAATTGGTCTGTTTGCACTTCGAATTCCAGTTTGCGCACATTTGCAGTGCAGCAGATCTTTCGATGTATTATCTGCCTCTCAATTGTCCAATGTAAGCTGACTCCTGCAATAGGCTCACATTTACTAGCAGGCGTACTGGAAATAAAATGTTTAGTGCTATAGAGAATTGCTGAGATTAGTAAACAACGGGGTTGTAAACATGGGACCGGTCTTCACATATCTGGTTCTTTTTAATTACAGGCATCGGAGGATAGCGCAACCTCTGTCCTTCCGGAAAGTTTGTCTTATGTCTTCTCCTGCATTTACACAGTGCCCCTAAAAGACAACACGCGGTAGATGCGCTGGACCACCACGGGGACTAGATTGGGGTTCGGCAGGCGTTACTGGGAATCCGCACCCATACTAAATGTCAACTTTGTCGAACGTGTTTACAGCAACGGAATCTGCTGCGCGTTTTGTCGGACAGAGCTAAGAAAACAGACATTTTATGGACGCGAATTTCTTTGTATAGTGTAAGCTTACACATAGTTTGGAAATATTTTTAATAATAAATAGCATAGAAGCTTGAAAGCCTTATTAAATTATGCTTCGGGGAATTCCATAAGTTGAAAGTACCGTGTCACTGAAGGCTTCACTTGCCCTTGACATTCAAGCGCAGTGGTATCGTACTTGTCTTCCGGATACTTTCTTCCAGGAGAGCGGGCACTTGTGTAATCAATGAATCCACTTCGTATATAGTCCATCAATGGCTAGGTTGTACCGCTACACATCCTATTTTGATGGTTTTCGATGGGTAGAAGTTTCGGTTTGTGAAAAATATGGTTAATATAGTTTGAATATATGGGTTAAATACGAGACCTGTTTAGTTAAGTTAGCATAGGCCTAATCTTCACGGCTCATGGTGTATGACAAAATCGAACTTTGCATGTGGATCGGTTAGGATAGGCTAGGGGTGTCTGATAGAAATGAAAGATGTAACAAGGGACTTGTCGAGAACTTTGTATCGACCAACACCAAACTAATTGACAGTTTGACCATCGATTGCGATGATGTCCACCATGTGCCGCACAGCAGCAGCAGCAGCAGCAGCGGTGGGAGCAGGGACGTTGACTTGCGCAGGGGTTTATAGTGCCGGTAGACTTGCGCTGCATCAACCTACACAGTGGGAGTGCCATAAAGGCCACATTATGAAGGAGCCATTGCTGCCTGACTCTCATACCTCCAGTCCAGGATGAGGTCCATGTTATCCCGTCAGTTGGCAACCTTCCAGGCTACGGCTTTTAGCGCACCGTAATAGCTTCAAACGCGTCAGATTGTTTATAATAAGGAGAAAGTGTGCTGAGTCGTCAACCTCACTCTCCCTACCTATTCCCAAACCCCAGTCGCTGTCCGAGACGGTCAGCAGACTGGAGTGGAAAATGGGCGCGGTGGCTGGCATGGTCGACTGATGGTGTTGGTGGTGGTGGTGCGGTCTTCTTGACTCTGTCTTGACACCGGGTCCATATGGAGGAGGGGAGTGAGAGTGGAATAGATGCTGTACAAGTCTACTACCACTTTAAACCAACTCACAGGCAAGTCACCGTACCTGCTCCCTGGCCCGACTGTGAGCACACGGTGGACAGCGGCGGTAACAGTGGTCGAACTCTCATTGCAATTACCGATAAGGAGAACGACCAGCCAATAAGTCACCAGTTAGTGAGAAATTTCGATGTGCTAGTTTCTCGTTATTTTTAAGCCCGGTTATATACCTGACTGTACTTTTCATGGAAACACACTCGTGGTCTAACCATACAAAAGACAAAACCTTCAACGAATAGTTTAATTCAAAGGAAATATTTCCCTCAGACATACTGCGTTCATTACGACGAGTAAGCAAAGATACGATCGTTATGATATTGCACATGCATGACATGCCTTAGTGATGACACTGACCAGGCTATTGTCTGATTGCAGTTTATTCACGTCACATCCGCTTCACCAAGCTTGCCGCTTTAGTTGACTGTCAGCCACTTCGATTTTATTCATCAATAACAGTGGAGTCGTTATCTTCAAATGAGGTCCCTATTCTTACTGCTGCCCTTCGGGGCATCCTGCTAGGCCCCACCCATCCCCTTTCTTCGTCTATGGCTGCCAACAAGGTACTTTATATCATTTTAACCGGGGATTAGATATGCACAGTTGACGGCTTAAACCAGGCTGTCAGCCCATATCTCGCGCAGGATAAGTGCTTCTCTGAGACCGCTGTTCTGAGGTTCAAAGGGGACCCAAATATCGATTACTTCTACAGTCTTGACCGTTCAGCTCCAGGCAGTCACCTGAGAATGATTCATCTCTTGTTGTGCAGCATTCTAATTCTACTAATAAAAACGTATGAAAGTCATAAAAAGAGGAATACCTATTTTACGCCAACAGAGGGGTGTTCCGTTATGCTAAGTGAAACAGTTGGTAAGTGTGTGCGAGTGTAAGGCTGGAATGGTAATGTTTTGCAAATCATCCTGCTGCTGCCGTCTTTTGCTTTTTGTAGAAACTATAGGGCCAGTTACTTAAAATGCAGCTGTCCCATACCGCACCAACCGCCGCCCCTCCGCCCGCCTCTGCATCGTCCTCTCCACCGTTAACTAACTATGACAATTCTTCTGAACCAGCACTTCCGCCATCCCTCTCCTCCTACACCTCTTCCCCCGCCTATTCCTCCTCCTGCCCCATTGCACCAACCACGGCCGCGCTGGTGGCTGACACTCACACCAGCATCACACACATCTATGACACAACAACAGACACCATCCCTCCAATCTCCGACTCCAGGGGTGAGGACCAGGGCTTCACCTGCCCTCACTGCGACCGCACCTTCACATCACACATCGACCTGGTCAGTCACTTGCGAATCCATCGCACAGAGACTGGCGAACCAGTGCCAGGAGCACCAACCTACACCCACCGCACCCGCCCCCGCTGCCCTCGCACCTTCACGCATCGCACGGGCCTGTTCGGCCACATGCGCATCCACGAGAGCGGAATTGACCGTCCTCCCGACTAACCCACCACGCCAAACCCCATCCCCACTTCATCACCCTTTGCGCCCATCATCGTTATTGCAACTGACCCCGACACCACCGACTTCGCCTGCCCACACTGTCCACGCACATCCACCTCTCGCCTCGGCCTGGTCGGTCACTTGCGAATTCATCGCACGGAGACAGGCGAACCAGTGCCTGGAGCACCAACCTATACCCAATATTTCCTTTGAATTGAACTATTCGTGGAAGGTTTTGTCTTCTGTTTGTTTAGACCACGAGTGTGTTTCCATGAAAAGTACAGTCAAGCAAGTTGATGACGAACGTAATAACACAGTCATAACAAGACATGACTCCTCATAAGAACGAGTGAGGAAAGGACTTCTTGCGCCTAAAAAACCGACGTCTCCCTGGAAAGACCAAACATCGACAAAAGTACTCAAGACGATTATTTGCAAATTATCCAGACCGATTTCACGTATTTTAAATTCTTCCTCAACCGATGCATCCTTACGCCTACTGGGATGTGACTTAAATATATTCCATTCGAAAATTGTGGTTAAAGAACGATGGCCATCAGCTATAGGCAGGTGAACCTAATATGCATTCAAATTGACCCAACTGTGAAAAACTCGGCGCCTCGGCGCGATTCGATCCCACGCAGTAAGGGGAAGGCTTTAGCGCAGCCAACGCTCTAACCACCTGAGCTACGAGGTCCCGCCGGACGACGCGAGTTTTATCACCTTTGGGTCAAGTTTATCCGCCCAACCTACTGCAAAGTCTGGAATCCACCAAATCTGATACAGTAAGTTGACAGCCCAAGCAGGATTTCCTAAGTAATTCACCTAGAATCCACCAGATGACTACCAGGCTCGCGTAATTCATTGATATGCATTCGTCTCAAAGTTGTAGAACCAATCAGCAGAGAATATACCACGAATTTCCTTGAAGTGAACGACACGCTCAAAGGTGTTCAACACGGTTTTTGACGAAGTCAGTGCATTCTATTCAATGCAGAACCGATCCCATGAGTTAGTGGACACAAAAGCCGGCGTTTTTTCATCAATTGCAAAAATGCTTTCGCTTGTGTTCCACATCGTCGCTTACTTTACAAGCCTAGAATATTTGAGACGCAGGGAAGCCTACCGAAATGAACAGAGGACTTCAAGATCGACCGAATACATTCGGTGTGTCTAGGCAGTGCGAAATCGGTATTAGAGCTAGTTGCCAGTGAGGTATCTTGGAGCTTCATTCATGGAGCCCTGATGTTCTTCATCTATGTCAGCGGCTGCATGACAGGACTGGATTGCAGGGGAGTCATATTTGTAGATGACATTAAAATACGACACGCGATCAAATAAATTAATGATGAAGGACCGTGCAGGAAGGCAAAAGGCATGAAGAACTTGAGATCCGTAGCATACAGAAGACCCAGCAAACAGTTGCCACAGGCTGCCTCTTTGGGCGTGTTGTGTGCATCAGTGTCCCCTGCTGAGGTTCTTAGACCCCAGCGCGTGTGTACGCCTTCACTTTCTCTAGGTCGTGCGCGTCTGTAGCTGTACTGTCACCGTTACAGTGGCTGGCTCAACGTTGATAACTCAAATGAGGCCGCCAAAAACCGATTGCGGCTGAAATACTAACCATTCAATTCTGAGGAAATTTTTATCTGTTACTATGCGTCACATTTTCCGCAGTGCTTAAGGCTTACGAAAAACATAAGAAGAGGAATAGATATTTCGCAACAACAGAAGAACCCTCTTTACTATTATGTGAAACAGTAGGTAAATGCGTGTGTAAGACTGAAAGGTTCACTTTTCAAGTCTTCCTTCTACGCCAACTACGCCAGTACATAACAAGAATTGGTGCAGTTCTGTACCCTTCCAGGTGTCCACGTCATTTAATGACCTAGCGCGATGCGACAATTCTCTCGCGGCAGGTAGGGGTTCAACGCGTGCAAGTTATTATTTATAGTCGACACTGCCGATGTGGACAACATATACGCACTGTCCCTAGGGCTGCGTAGCCACAAGTTGAGAAGTCTTCTCATAACACCTAGGTAAACCAAATGTAAAGGATCTAAGGGGAAGGAGCTTATCATTCCTACATTGCACGCCAGCAATGGCGACACGCCAATGCGGTGGCAGTCATTGTCCACGGAAAAAAAAT